CGCTAATATCAGGGAAACTGGGAGAAGAAGTGGGACATAAGGAGTTGTTGTCCGTCTAGGGTCTAGGGATCCAGATCAGTGTATTCTAAGAGGGCCTTTGTGGGTTGGTCTAGGAGTAGAGTCGGGTTTTCACGTTTGACCTCTTGGATTTTTTCATAATTTAGTGCTTTAAGGGTGGCCTTATGAAAACTAGCCAGCAGGCAAGTTACAAACTGATCCCTAGCAAGGATGCCCCCTGGGATAGTGTAATTCCATTCAGGGTCCTGGGTAGGGACCCTCAGTGCTGACTGGGTGGGCAGCCTGGCGCTGAGGAGGGAGAAAGGGAAACCAGAGAGGCTGGAGAGGGAGAGAAGGGACCGGGTTGAGGCCAATAAGGGAAAGGCTCGTTAGTGTGATGGAAAAATAGTGGAGGAATCATCTGGTTGGGGCTTTAGAGCTAGGAGGAGCTGTTTTTTCCTTGGTTGACTCATGTCGTGTGGCCATTTTTAATCAAGGTCGGAGTGAGGCTGCCTTGGTGAAGGGCTTGCTGTGCGAGCCCAAAGACCTCAGTTCCATTTCTAGAACCCGTGTGTAAAGCCAGGGGCCTTGTGCTTGTCACCCCCACGCCTTAGAGGTGAAGACAGGCGTATCTGGGGGGATCACTGGCCAGCTAGCTCAGACTACTACAGACATTCAGGCCAGTGAGAGACTTGTTTAAAAAAAAAAGTTAAATGGGACCAAGGAACAACATCTGAGGTTGACCTTTGCCAACACACACACACACACACACACACACACACACACACACACACACACACACACACACACACACACCAAATACTGAAGAAAAATAATAGTCTTCTGAAAAAAATCCAAAATTAAAATTGTGGCAGTGGATGCCTTTAATCCAAGATCTCTGTGAGTTCAGGGCCAGCCTGGTCTACATAGTGAGTTTCAGGACCACCAGAGCTACAGAGTGAGATCCTATGTCAAAAAAAAAAGCAAGCTGGGCGATGGTGGCGCACGCCTTTAATCCCAGCACTTGGGAGGCAGAACCAGGCGGATCTCTGTGAGTTTAAGGCCAGTCTGGTCTTCAGAGTGAGTTCCAGAACAGCCAGGGCAAAACAGAGAAACCCTGTCTTAAAAAAACAAAAAACCTAAACAAAAAAAGAGTAAAAATAAAATTAAAAATAGAAAGAGAGAAAAAAGCTATGGAGGACTGGAAAGATGACCCAGCACTTGCTGCTCTTTCCAAGACCTTCGGTTCCATTCCCAGCACCTACATGGCTGCTCACAACCATTTGCACGTCCAGGGGTGTCCCACACACCCTTCCAGCCTCCACAGGCATGTATGTGGTGAAAGACATACATGCTGGCAAAACACCTATACCCAGCCTATGGGGCTGGGACTGTGGCTCGGTTGGTAGAGTACTTGCCTCGTGTGCCCCGGTTTGGGTCCCAGCACCACACAAACCTGTTAACATGGTTCAGAGTGACAGTGAGTGGGTCCTTCCACCTTCGGGGTTGAAGCTGCCCTGTCACAGCCAGCTTGTTAACCCATCCTGGACTCTTAGAGGTTGTAGCGCTTTCCCTAATGTTGCCCGAGTCCACAGTTTGCTGTGAATGCTGATGAAATGCTGACACCTGCACCCTCTTAGTCCCTCTTGATTGATTAGCGGCGGTTTCTTTTTTTCTTGAAGGCCTTTCCTTCATCAGTGAGGGCTAGGTGGTACTCTGAAGTGCAGATCCAATGGAAACCAAAGGCTTTCCCTTCATTTAGCTGCCGGAGTAAGGACATCAGGGCTGTGTTCAGGGCATGCCTACCTCTGCCTTCTCCTTTTGGTGCATCGCTGTGAAATCACAGGGTCCCTTTTTTTTTTTTTCTCCCAGCTCTGGGGAAGGAATCCAGGATCTTCCAGTATGGTAGACAAATCTCCCACAGAGCTATATCCACAGCCCTCCATTATTATTTTTTGTAGTTTGAATTCTCTTTTTAAAATTTTCTGCGTGGAGGTGGTGTATGTGTTACAAGACATGCTGGCTTGCTACTGGGCCGTCTCCCAGCCCTGTTTGTAGTCTGTTTTATTGTTTTGTTTTGAGACAGGCTTTCTCTGTGTAGCCCTGGCTGTCCTGGAACTCATTCTGTAGACCAGGCTGGCCTTGAACTCAGAGATCCTGCCTCTGCCTCCTGAGTGCTGGGTTTAAAGGTGTGCACCACCACTGCCTGGCTTGTATTATTTTAACCTTGCCCAGTGGAAGTCCCTCCAACCTTGACCCCATATCCTTTTGACAAGTGTTTTATTTACTGTCCTGTTTATTTGGCGCAATAAAGAGCCACGGGCTCGTTTTGAACATCCTCTGGGCTAGGCGTGAAGTCTGCTGTTCCCTCAGGCTCTTTTCAGTGGGCAATGGTGGTTGGAGTCTAGCTGTGGGTCCCCAGGTATGCACAGCGGCCTTCTGTCTGTGTTGCTCAATCTTCTCAGATGCCAGAGCAGCTGGAGTTCACACGGCAGGGCTAGCTCCACCCGAAACCTAGTGCTTAGGGGTTCTTCTCCACTGACTGTAAACTCAGTCCTTCTTTCTCAAAGTGGAAAATTTTGGTCCATTTGTTTGTTTGGTTAGTTGGTTAAAGACAAGGTCTTATGTATCCAGACTGACCTCACAGTCTGCATATAGCCAAAGCTGGCCTTGAACTCCTGATTCTCCTGCCTCCACTTTCTGGGTGCTGGGTTTCCAAGTGAGCAATGTCACATTCAGCCTTGCTATTAAGTTTTAAATGAGGTGAGAAATGTCAGGACTTGTTTGTATGTAGTAGATGATTAGGTAGAGAGACTTCAAAGATGCAGACGTAGGGGCTTCGGCCCAGGGGTTGGTTCCCATGGCATGGGTGGAGGAACAGGAAGAGAACCAAGATGTAGGGCAGAGAATGTGGCTAAGAGTGGACAGACAGGGCGGTCCTCTGAGCTCCTGCTTTCCTGATGAGTGGGAGGCGACGGCATTGGCTCTTTATGAGGGGCTTTTGTGAGTTTGAGGGGGGAGCGTTCGAGAAGGATTTCATGGGCATGCCAAGCCTGTTCTGATGTTCTCTGGTGCTGATGCGATAGAACTGTCTCAGCCCTCAGGAGCAGCTGCTCCTGGTAAACCCCTCAGAAGCCCTCTAGGACAGGATGAGAGAAGCCAGCTGTGTTTTGCCTGTTCATTCAATGAACAGATATTTATTACGTATCAGCCAAGTCTAAGAACTGTTTTAGGCACTTGGCACACAGCAGCCATCCTAAGAGACCATACCTGTGCACTGGCTTCCCCTTCTTCCTGGATCATGCTTACCACTGGAGGCCAAAATGAAAGAATGAGCTGGGGGGCTGGAGAGATGACTCAAGAGGATAAGGCTGCTCTTCCAGAGGTCCTGAGTTCAATTCCCAGCAACCACATGGTGGCTCACAACCGTCTATAATAAGATCTGGTGCCCTCTTCTGGCCTGCAGGCATACATAAAGGCAGAATGAACACTGTATACATAACAAATAAATAAATATTTTAAAAAAACTTAAAAAGAATGAGCTGACTATGACCACCGTGGGGCATATCTGTGATCCTAGCACTCGGGAGGCATGGTCGGGAAGATTATAAGTTTGCAGCTAACTCGTGCAACATTTAAAAAAAAAAGTGGGGTTCCCTGGCTGTCAGAGAACCCCAGTCTGGAGCCCCGGGTTTAGGGCAATTCCTACCACTCACTGTGTCCCCCTCCTGTTCTGTGTCCCTGCAGGACTATGAGAAAGCCTTGTTCTTCCCCTGCAAGGCTGCGGAGCTTGTCAACGACTATGGCAAAGGCTGGAGCCTCAAGTATCGGGCCATGAGCCAGTACCACATGGCTGTGGCCTACCGTCTGCTAGGCCACCTGGGCAGCGCCATGGAGTGTTGTGAGGTGGGGGAGCTGGGAAGCACTCGGTGGGGGTGGGGGGGAAGGACCTCAGGCCCAGGACACCGGGCCCCCGATTTTCTAGAACAGTCCACAGAATCCACACACACACACACACACACACACACACACACACACACACACACCCCTTGCCCTTGAGTCGCTGAAGAGAGTATTTCTATCACAAACTGTGCCCCAGACCTTATTCCCTTCCAGTCCATCCTCAGGGCAAGAGGCAGCCTCTGTAGGTCACTCTGAAAAGTAAAACGTGCCGGGCGGTGGTGGTGCACACCTTTAATCCCAGCACTCGGGAGGCAGAGCCAGGCGGATCTCTGTGAGTTCGAGGCCAGCCTGGGCTACCAAGTGAGTTCCAGGAAAGGCGCAAAGCTACACAGAGAAACCCTGTCTCAAAAAAACCAAAAAAAAAAAAAAAGAAAAAAAAAAAGAAAAGTAAAACGTAAGGGCTGAGGATGTGGCTCAGTTGGTAGAATGCTTGCCTGACATGCACAAAGCCCTGGGTTCAGCAGGGCGGTGGTGGCACACGCCTTTAATCCCAGCACTCGGGAGGCAGAGCCAGGCGGATCTCTGTGAGTTCAAGGCCAGCCTGGGCTACAGAGAGAGTTCCAGGACAGCCAGGAATATACAGAGAAACCTCGTCTTGAAACACCAAAACCAAAACAACAACATAGCCCTGGATTCAATCTGTAGTCCTACATAAAACCCATCCAGATTGGTGGTGTATGCCTATAATCCCAACCCTTGGAAGGTGAAGGATCAGAAGTTCAAGGCCATCCTCGGCTACATGAGACTCTGTCTTTTAAAAAAAAAAAAAAAACGAGAGAAAGATAGAAGGCGTCTTGAAGTTCCCCCACTCAGGCTCAAAGCCCATTGCTTCTTCCTCTGATCCCAGTAAAGGTACTTCTCTCTGGGTCTCAGTTTCCATCGGTCAGACAATACTACGATCTTAGTGGTTCAGTACAAGAGGCCTCACCAACTGCAAGAATGTATTCGGTTCTGAGGAGGTGGTGACCCTAGCTGTCCCTTCTGAGGGACTGCTGGGTATAGGACACCCCGTAGTAGGGTCAGCTTGCCTGAGTGACCAGCCTCCCTTGCAGGAATCCATGAAGATTGCTCTGCAGCACGGTGACCGACCACTGCAGGCACTCTGTCTGCTCTGCTTTGCCGATATCCACCGGAGCCGGGGGGACCTGGAGGTGAGATCACCAGGATGAGGGGGGACCGTGGGCCTGGATCACCTCAATTCCAACCCTGCCCGGCTTTGCAGACAGCCTTCCCGAGGTACGACTCTGCTATGAGTATCATGACGGAGATTGGAAACCGCCTGGGGCAGGTGCATGTGCTGCTGGGTGTGGCCAAGTGCTGGATGGCCAGGAAGGTGTTGGACAAGGTGAGGTCGGGCCCTTTCCTGGAGCTAAAGCTCTCTCGGGGGGCTCCCAGTTTGGGGCTACTCAGCCAACACTGGGAGTATGGTGCTGGGCTTGTCCCCCTTTTTTAACATCTGCCTCACTCTGTTCCCATGAGGCCCAGACATTCCCAGTAATTCTCTACCCTCAAAGAAGGCCCATGCCTTGTCCAGGGGCCCACAGCTTCTAAAGGGCCAAAGCTGGCATTTGGAGCTGAGATTCTTAAATTTCCTTCTGCTGTCTCACAGCATCCGATGAGGCAGTCATGTTCTGCTCATTGTGTCTGTATAAACTAAGAAACTAAGGCGGGATGTAATTTGCTCATACAACCTCTCCTGCCTTCTCACAGAGCAACGGTTCCACCCCCCCCTTTACCCCCACCCCCGCGCCCCCCCCCCCCCCCCCCCCCGGCCCACTTTCCTTTTCTTTGCTATGAGTCAAGACAGTCAGACTGCCTACATCTCTGGCCTCTGCTCACCTTCCAGGCTTTGGATGCCATTGAGAAAGCCCAGGACCTGGCTGAAGAGGTTGGAAATAAGGTCAGACATGGTTATGTCTCCTGGGTCTGGCAGGATCAAGAACCAAAGGAGGAAAATTAGGTGTGGTGGTGGAGGAAACAGGATAATCAGAGTTTAAGGTGATCCTTGGCCTTGGCTACATAGTGAGTTGGAAGCCAGCTTGGGATACATAAGACCCTGCTAGAGCTCTGAGCTCCTCTGATCCTCTGGAAGGTACTTGCAGCCATCCCAACCCCCTGGATCTCCAGCTTCCTCCTAGAGAGTATTTCTGGGGCTAGGCAGGCATTTCATAGTTTGGAGAAGCAGTGAGTCCCTGGTAGCCTCTTTATTCTTCTTTAAAAACCCCTAACAGGGGCTGGAGATGCCTGAGCAGTTAAGAGCACTACCCGCCCTTCTAGAGGACCTGAGTTCAGTTCTCAGCACACACGGCAGTTCACAACCACCTGTAACTAACTTCAGTTCCGTGGATTAGACGTCTTCTTTTCCATGGGCACTAGGCATGCACATGGTACACAAACATATACACAAACAAAAATGCTTGTACACATTTTAAAAATCTTAAAAATAAAGCCAAAATACCAACCCTCACAACGTCCTCTACTTCTCCATAGCTGGGTACTTGGCATCAAGAGCTGGGTATCCTCACAGATGTTGGCTGCAGCCTTCCCTCTAAGTGATCTCATACTATAGATGAGGCCCACGGGCCCCCAGCTACCAGCTGCTGTGACCTAATGCTAAAGTCCATAGTAATATGTAGCCTCTTCAGATGTCTTAATCGTATCCAGACCTTGAGGCCTTTTGGCTTAGTGTTTCCCAGAGTCTTCTGTAGGCTCTGGTGCACAGCCCGACTAAGATGTTGAAGTGTATTTGCTTTGGGCTGGACCGCAGCCACTCATGTTTACTCAGCTCTCACACTGATCGGAAATGAATACTCAGTAAAAATAAGGAAGCAAATTAGATACGGTAGAGGCAATATCTAATAGCTAACAGCAGCACGTTTGGTCAACAAAACCCTTCAGAAACATGGTATGGTGGGGCACACCTGTTCCAGGACTTGGGAGGTGGAGGCAGAAGGATCGGGAGTTCTAGGCTAGCCACGACTATATAGTGAGTTTGAGGCCAGCCTCGGCTATGTATGCGAGACCCTATCTCAAAACAAAAACATGGGGTCCCATGTTCTTGTCTCTTACCCACTCTCTGTCCAAAGGGAATCCAAGGCTTGGGGGTGGGCAGGGTCTTTCTCCCAGGTCCCCCAGCCAGGCAGGAGTGTGACAGGGACAGCACCTTCCCAGCCCTGCCCTCTGCCTAGCCTCTCACGGCATCTATCCCCCCCCCCCCCCCATCTTAGCTGAGCCAGCTCAAGCTGCACTGCCTGAGTGAGGGCATCTACCGCAGCAAAGGGCTGCAGCGTGAGCTGCGCGCGCACGTAGTGAGGTTCCATGAGTGCGTGGAGGAGACGGAGCTCTACTGTGGCCTGTGTGGCGAGTCCATCGGGGAGAAGAACAGCCGGCTGCAGGCCCTGCCCTGCTCCCACATCTTTCATCTCAGGTGAGGCTGGGTGGGCACGACCCCCAGATCACACTAACAATATTAGAGGCAAGCTCCTGGGTGTCTTCCCCAGGCTTGGTGTGTTCTAAGAACTTCCCACCTACTTACCGACTCTTCCCTCCAACCGCATGAAGGGGTTGTTCTTACCACCATCCCAGGGGGAATTCAGAGCGTCCCCTTCCAGGACCAGGCTTGCCCCAGGGTGGAAGCCTCTGATGCAGGGCAGGCAGGAGGTGAGCAGCAGGCCTGGAGAGCCTCCTCTGCCACTGGACAGCGACCCCTGGGCTGGAAGGGAGGAAGACAGAAGCCAGAGCCTGGAGAAAGTCTGGCATGGGTGAGTGGACAGAGCCCTCTGCCTCCGCAGATGCCTGCAGAACAATGGCACTCGGAGTTGTCCCAACTGCCGCCGCGCCTCCATGAAGCCAGGCTTCGTGTGACTTCAGTGGCTGTCTTCGGCGTTGACATCACTTCCCTTGGCTCCTTCTCCACCATCAAGCTGAAGGCCCGGTGAAATTCTAGGGTAGCTGCCAGGGCCTCCTTTGCCGACTCAGGGCCAGGGGCTTGCCTGCTGCTCCTCTGGGCCTAGCTCCCCTCCCCTGTTTCTTTGTATTTTGTTCTTTATAGAAAAATAAAATGTTTGTACCTGGTGCCAGTGGTGCTGGCCTTTCCTCCTCACGTGGGCTTCCCCAGACACAAGCCTCACTCCATATTCCGTGTGAGACCCTCCAGCCACCCACCTTCTTAACAACTCAGTTACCACAAGAACTGGAGACACGATCCTTGCTGCTGGGATACCTACCCCCAGTGTGAGAGGGGACTACTAGATAATAAGCAGAATAGGCAAGCAATGTGGAAAGTGCTAGAAACTTGCATGGATTGCATTGTAAACGTCTGCCCCACCAGTTTTTAAAAATTATATCTATTGCATGTGTGTGCACATGTGTAGGAGCACATGTGCCAGTGTGAATGTGAGGTCAGAGAACAATTTCAGGGAGCCAGTTCTGTCCTACCATGTGAGTCCCTGGGGGTGGAACCCAGGTCCTCAGGCTTGGAGGCAAGTGTCTTTACATGCTGAGCCATCTCGCTGGCACCTACCCCACCAATTTTTCTGTTGTTAATTGTTTTTGGTTTTTTTTGAGACAGGGTTTCTCTGCATAGCCCTGGCTGTCCTGGAACTCACTCTATAGACCAGGCTGGCCTCGAACTCACAGAGATCTGCCTGCCTCTGCCTCCCAAGAGCTTGGATTAAAGGCACTGCCTAGCAAATGCCTTTAAACAGGATCTGTCTATTCAGTAAGACAAGAGTCTCACTATGTAGTTCTGGCTGGTCTGGAATCATTGTGTAGATTCAAATTCACGAAGCTCCTGCCTCTGGCTCCTGACTGATGGAATTAAGGGCGTGTGCCACCATGCCTGGCTCTGTCACCTTTACTAGAAGGGACTGATGACCACCTCCCAAAGGCCTCTTTACAAATACCACAACACAAGGCATTCTGTTTCAACATGTGAATTTGGATGGAAAAAAAAGCCCCTACTGTGAGTATATTTGAAGATGAGGCCTTGAACAGGCTAGTGAAAGCCTGGGAAGAAAGCTTAGTGGGTAGGGTGCTTGCCCAGCCCACTTGAGGGTCTAGCTTTACTCCCCAACACCACACAAACCAAATATACTAGCACTTGGGAGATGAAGGTAGGAGGATCAGAAGTTCAAGGTCACCCTCTGCTCCATGGCAAATTTAAGGCCAGCCTGGGCTACGTGAGACCCTGTCTCAAAAACAAAACAAAATGAGTTCATCTCAGTCCTAAGGTTGGGATGCTCATCAAACAGGACTCCTGTCCTGAGAAGAAGAGAGACATTGGCGAAATAGGAGAGTTTTCTCCCCTCTCCCCATGATGCATAAAGAGCCTCTCTCATTGAGGACACAGTAAGGACATGGTTATCTGCCAGCCAGGAAAAGGAACCTCACCCAAAACTGAATTTCCTAGCACCCTCTTCTGGGAATTGCAGCCTCTAAAACAGAGAGAAAACTAGCTTCTGGGGCTGGAGCGATGGCTCGGTAGCTACATGATTTCTTCTCTGCTCACTGGCTGCTCATCCAGAGGACTCAGGTTTGATTTCCAGGACCCACATGACATCTGTCTGTAACTCCAGTTCCAGGGACCCAAACCCTCTTATGGCTTCCACAGCACCAGGACACACATGGTGTTCAGATACACATACAAGCACAAAACCCATACACATAAAAAATAAAACATTTTTAAAAAAGAAATTAGCTTCTGTGTTTAGATTATCTAGTTTATACTTTAAAAAAATATTTTATTGGTGTTTTGTTTGCATGTATGTCTGCAAGTGAGTCAGATCCCCTGGAACTGGAGTTACAGACAGTTGTGAGCTGCCATATGGGTGCTGGGAATTGAACCCAGTGCTCTTAAGCACTGAGCCATCTCTCCAGACATGGGTATTAATTTTAAAGGGAAGAAAAAGCTACGTCTCAGTGGAGCTGGTTGGCTGGCCCAGTTCACCTCCAGGACAAGGTGAAACTGTGTGCCACCTGAAAGGCACAACACTAAGAGGGACACAGTTAGAAACATCCCTCAGAGTAACTGTGATTTTTGAAAGTGTCCAGAAATGAAATCAAGGTGTATTCGTTTGTTTTCTACTGTGACCAAAAACAACTTGAGGAAAAGATGTATTTGGCTTACACGTCCCAATCACAGTCCCTCACCAAGGGAAGTCAGGGCAGGAACTGGAGGCAGGAACCTAGAGGTTGGAACTGAAGCCGAGACCTTGAAGGAATGCAGCTTACTGGCTTGCTTTCCACGGTTAGCTCAACCTGCTTTCTCATATGACCCAGGACCACCAGTCCAGGGCTGATACCACCCACAGTGATCTGGGCCCTCCCACATCAGTCATTAATCAAGAAAACACCCCCACAGTCTTGCCTACAGGCCAAGCTGATGGAAGTATTTCCTCAGTTGAAATTTCCCCTTCCCAAATGACCCTGGCTTGTGTCGAGCTGGTTAAAACTAACCAGGATGCAAGGAAAGTCTGGGAAATTCTTTTTTGTGAGTGTGTGTGCTTTTTGTTTTTCTGTTTTGTTTTTTGTTTGTTTGTTTTTGTTTTGTTTTCCTAGTCTATCATTTTTTTTATTCAGTGATAGACAAGTACATTAAATGTATTCAATATTGAAAGTGCAAACTTTAATGGGAAGCTTTATGGCTTCAATTTCGAATGCCAGTTTTAACTATATATAATTGATTAGGTTGTTTAGACTTAATTCTTGTATAGAAGCACTGAGTGCACGCAGCCCTTCTCCGCTGGACTCCTTCACTGTAAAGGCTGTTGCTAGGACAGCCAGTGAAGCGAGGAGGAGGCCTGAGGATGAAATTGTGGAAAGCTACTGATATTCACATCCCCCTGTTCCAGGCAATGCCGTGGTTAATCGGGAGACTGTTTGGTTTTGATCCGGTTCTGTTGATTTGATGCAGGGCTTTGGGAATACTCTTCCACTGAGCTACATCCCTCTAGCCCAGGAGGATGTTCTTTTTGTTGTTGTTGTTGTTGTTCGTTTGTTTTATCCAGGCAGGGTTTCTCTGTGTAGCCCTGGCTGTCCTGGATCTTGCTTTCTAGACCAGGCTGGCCTCAAACTCAGAGATCCACCTGCCTCTGCCTCCTGAGCCCTGGGATTAAAGGCGTGTGCCACCACTGCCCAGGTGGAAGTTCTTTTAGGAAATTCTTACAGAAGTATCCAAGCTGATACTAGCCCTCAATTTCATTTGATTCCTGAAAAGAAGTTACAAGTCTGGCGGTGGTGGTTCAGGCTTTTAGTCCCAGCACTCTGGAGGCAGAGGCAGGCGGATCTCTGAGTTTGAGGTCAGCCTGGTCTACAGAGCGAGATCCAGGACAGCCAGGGCTACAGAGAGAAACCCTGTCTTGAAAACAGCCGTCTCCCCAAGAGAAGTTACTACTGTTGTATTTCTAATATATATATGTGATATATATGCATATGTATCTCACATGTATATGCATATATATCTCTCTCACATGTATACAATGCCAGGCACGGATGACATAACCTGTAGTCCCAGCTCCTCAGGAGACAGGAAGATTGCTTCCGTTTAGGAATTCAAGGAACTATCCCATATCTTCAGGTTGTTTTCTTTCTTTCTTTCTTCCTTTCTTCCTTCCTTCCTTCCTTCCTTCCTTCCTTTCTTTCTTTTTTTAAGATTTATTTATTTATTTGTATACATTGCTCTGTCTGCATATATTCCTGCACACCAGAAGAAGGCGCCAGATCTCATTATAGATGGTTGTGAGCCACACCACGTGGGTGCTGGGAATTGAACTCAGGACCTCTGGAAGAGCAGCCAGTGCTCTTAACCTCTGAGCCATCTCTCCAGCCTGTTTTTTTTCTTTTAAACAAAAATAGCTAACTTCTTTAAAGGAGTAGAGTGAGTAGGGAGTAGGCAGCGGGGTGGGCGGGTTAGCGTTAGAGTGGTTCTTGGGGTGGTCTTTCTGAGAAGGTGGTGTTGAGAGGTGACGCAAGCAGTAAGAGCTGGGATGCGTCTCAGTGGTGTAGGCCTTGCCTAGCACCTGGGAGGACCCGGGTTCAAACCCCCGTACTGAAGAGAAGAGATAAAGGGAAAAGGTTGGTGTTGTGCTTTGCGGTTGTAATGCCAGCCCTCAGAAGATCAAGGAGGAAGGATTGCTCTGAGATCGAGGTCAGCCTGGACTAAACAGAAAGTGCTAGGCCAGTTAAGTTACAGAGTGAGGTCCTGATTTTAAAAGAAGAAAGAAATAGGGCTGGAGAAATTGCTCAGTGGTTGAGTGCTTACTGCTCTTCCAGAGGACCTGAGTTCTGTTGCGCGGTGTTTGATTACACTCTGTAAAGACATGTCACTGGGACTGGTTTAATAAAAAGCCACATTGCCAGTAGCTAGGCAGGAGATACAGGTGGAACTTCCGGACAGAGAGAGTTCTGGAAAGAAGAAAGGGGGAGTTGCCAGCCGGATGCAGAGGAAGCAGGACATTCAGGAGAAGAGGAAAAAGCCACAAGCTCCATGGCAGCACGTAGATTAATAGAAATAGGTTAATTTAGGTTATAAGAGGTAATTAGAAACAAACCCAGGCTAAGGCCAAGCTTCCATAATTAATAAGAAGTCTTTGTGTCATTATTTGAGAGCTGGCTGGCGGAACAGAGAAAGACTTGTTACAGAGTTCAGTTCCCAGCACCTATGTTGGTGACTCACAACCCATAATTCCCCTAATTCCTGCTCCAAGGGGTCCCAAATGCCGCCTGCCTTCTGGCCTTCCAGGGCACAGCACTCACATGAATGCACACATACAGACCCATGTGGTGCACTTAAATAAAACAAATATTAAAAGAGAAGAAAAATTAAAAATAGGGATGGGGTCAAGCAGCCCAATTATCAGTAAAGTACATTCTAGAAGAAAGGAACAAGGGCTTGCCTGATACAGTCAAGGGACAGCAAGGAAGCTCGTCACCATGGCCTAGAGCTGAGAGACCAGAGAGTACAGACACACAGGGCCGTACAGGCTGTTGTGAGGACTGGGTTTTACTCTGAGAGGGCAGGCAGCTGCTGGGGTTTTAGGCAGAGTGACATGATCTGAGCAGTTTCAAAGGAATTCCACTGGTTACTATGTAGAGAACAGACTAGGTCCAAGACAACTGGCCTGAAGGCTTCCAGACTGGCAGCATGGGGTACAATGTGAGATCTTGTCTACACACACACACAAGCACACACACACACACACACACACACACACACACACACACACACACACACACACGTAGATGTGGCACATGTTACCAGTTGGCAAATTTATGGGAAAGGCAGGTTTTCATTGTTTGTTCTTTCAACTTGTAATTTTTACATTTTTTTCAAAATCAAGAGTTTTTCCAAATGGTAAATTTTAGGAAATGTTACCCAGACATAGGGAGGGAGGGTGTGGGGATGTGCTGTGGGGAAGGGACAGATCCAGATATTAGGGAACAGGCTCCTGTGACAGGTGTCAAATTTTGCCAAAGGAAAGCAGGCTGTTTTGGGGTGTTGCTGAGTTGGTAGAGTGCTACCCTAGCGTGGAGGAAGCCTCAGGTTTGATTCCCAGTGCTGCAGAAACCAGGTTTGGTGGGGGAAAAAATCAGTACACAATCCCAATGCTTGAATGCAGGAGAATCAGAACTTCCAGGGCATCCAGGGCTATATGGTAAGTTCATAGCCAGCCTGGGATATGAAGCCTTGTCTCTGTCTGTCTGTCTGTCTGTCTGTCTCTCTCTCTCTCTCTCTCTCACACACACACACACACACACACACACACACACACACACACAGTTCGGCCAATTGTGAGCCTTTAATCCCAGCACTCAGGACACAAGACAGTTGGATCTTTGTGAGCTCAGGACCAGCCTGGGTTATGTAGTGAAACTCCCTCTAAAAGGCAATGGAGAAAAGCATATGTTTCGTGCCAGGGATTTTCCTGGTATGTCTGGTAAGTGCCCTGAAGGGGAGTGTGGGAAACGGAATAAGACTTGACTAGTCTTTGGGTCTGATTAAAGAGCATGAGAGTTCATTGATATTCAGTGGGGACACAGAGTTATAGGAAAAGTAGAAGCACAGATGTGGGATGAGTTATTGGGGGTCTGAGACACCAAAGGGCAAAGGCCCAGGTACTGATGTGGCAAGAAAAGATGTAGCATGTGGGCAAGATGTGGTCAGGGACCAGACTTGGCTCTTTTTGTTGTTGTTGTTGTTTTGTTTTTGTTTTTCGAGACAGGGTTTCTCTGTGTAGCTTTGCGCCTGTCCTGGATCTCACTCTGTAGACCAGGCTGGCCTCGAACTCACAAAGATGCGCCTGCCTCTGCCTCCCGAGTGCTGAGATTAAAGGCGCGCACCATCACCGCCTGGCCAGACTTGGCTCTTTATCCTAAGAGAAGGCTTTGTTTTTGTTTTCTTCTTGAGAGAATGGATACTGTAAAGTAAAAGGCCCAGCCAAATAAAACACATTCTGCCCCTGACCAGCTCAGCAGGAAAACCAGCCAATCCCTGAGTACAAAATCCAGCCAGTCTCCGAGCTTGTCCAAGCTCAGGGATTGAAATCCGATCAATTCCCACCCTGAAAATCTTCACCCTGAAAAAACTCCACCCCGAAAGAAATCACATACAAGCCCTGTACCTGTTCAGTTTGGGGGTTGCCTTTTTCCATCCTGGCAGAGGCAGCCACTCTCCTGGATTCCTCCCTCCCAGGAAGTCTCTTGAACGAGGTTTGGGTGACCACCTTCTTTCACCAGAGTGGAGCAGGGCAGAGAACGACTTTTGCTGAAGGGAAAACTCTTTTAGCAAAGCAGAGCTGTGATGGCTCTCGCTGGAGCCGGAGCAGAATTGCTACATTTCTGCGGGGAAACTCCCTTAGCAGAGCAGAGCTGAGCTGTGCTCTCTCCCGGAGAGAACAGAACTGCTACATTCCTGTATCATTTGGCTGTTATCACTTGGCTTCTGACAGCCAGAATACCTTTCCCTCCAGAGCTGTAACACAGCTACCATGACCAGATCTAGCTTGAGCCTGATGTCTCTGGATACTCTTTGGAGAACAGATTAGAAGGGGTTGATCTCCCAGCCTGGTCTGCAGAGCAAGTTCTAGACAGCCAGGGCTACGTAAACAACACTGTCTCGAGAAACAAAATGTCTTAGGATTTCTGTTGCTGTGAAGAGATACCATATCCATGGCAACTCTTATAAAGGAAAACATTTAAATGGGGTGGCTCACTTACAGTTTCAGAGGGTCAGCCCATTATCATCGTGGTGGGGAGCATGGCGATGTGCAGGCAGACATGGTGCTGGCTACATCTTGATATGCAGGGCACAGGAATTCGACTGAGACATTTGGCAGTATCCTGAGCATAGGAAACCTCAGAGCTGGCCCCTACAGTAACACACTTCCTCCAACAAGGCCATACCCACTCCAACAAAGCCACACCTAATAGTGCCACTTCGTATGAGCTTATGGAGGCCAATTACATTCAAACTACTACACAAAAAAAAAAAAAAAAAAAAGAAAAAGAAAAAAAGAAAAGAAGGGATGGATCTCACCCCAGCCTAAGGCTGTCAGAAAAACGTCCACCATCTTACTGTTCTCAAAGAACAGCCACATCCACCACCCTGCTTTACCTTCACCACAACTCTGTGTGATCAGCGTGAGGGGACCAGAGCTCTGTGTGATCAGCGTGAGGGGACCAGAGCTCTGTGTGATCAGCACGAGGGGACCAGAGCTCTGTGTGATCAGCGTGAGGGGACCAGAGCTCTGTGTGATCAGCGTGAGGGGACCAGAGCTCTGTGTGATCAGCACGAGGGGACCAGAGCTGCCCAAGCACACTGGGCCATCTTCTCCATTCCCAGTCCCTTCACAGGAGCCCAGGGTTAAAATGGAACTACTCAGTCCGGATGCCATCCTGAATCCAGCTTCTATTGGCACCAGTGCGTTGACTCCAGGACCTCCTGCCTCCCTTGCTCTGGACCTTTTCTTCCCTTGAAAGGCCTAGATGGACCTGAGGCCCCAAGCTGGGTTAGTTTCTTTCTCCCTGAGGCCATGCTTAGAATCTCAGTGTCCTGTTGAGATGGTCCCCTCCTAAGTCCTAATCTCCCTCAGCACCACAGCCTTCTTAAATGAGCTTTCTTTCCCGGCTCCCCCAAGACATCCTACTCCTTTGCTCTCAAAAGAATTGATCAGTCCTGATATTCTTCATATGAGAAATCCAGTCTACTTCTCTCATTCTTTCCCTCCTCCTGTCCTGCCCTTCCTGAGAGAGAAAGAGAGAGAGAGAGAGTGTTGTGCCTCTGTGTGGGTACACTCACATGCGTATGTTTGTGATCTAACCTAGAGATCTAAATAGGGTATCTTCCTGCTGTCTGCCTCCCCTTCCTGTCTGAGACAGGGTCTTTCACTAATCCTGGAGCCTTTTTAGGCTAGACTGGTGGTGTTTTTTTACTAAATGTCAATCATTCATTTTACCAATAAAGACTCGGGAGCCAGATGCTGGGATAAAAACCTGCTAGCTCAGAGAGGCAGAGAAAGCACCCAGCTGACATTCCTCCTCTGCCATCATCCCAGAAAGAGATTTTTCCTACACCCGTCTCAAACAAAACTCCCCACACTCAATGCCCCTCCCTTCCACTTCCTGTGTGTCTACCTATCCACCCTCCTGACTCCTCATTCTCTGTAGTTTTTCTTGTTTACTTCCTGTCAACTGGCTGCTTGCTCTGCCTCTTAACCTGTAGTTGACTTTATTTAATCCTGTTGACAATATTCAAGCAGAAAGCTCTTGGATTAAACATGTGTGCTAGGGCTGAGCCACACCACAACGAGAAAGAGTTTTTTCCAGTACATAATGCAATCTCGGGGTTCACAGCGTGGTCAAATATCCGGCAACAGATTGGCTGACTGGTGGCCCCCCAGGATCTGCCTGTTTGCTGGCTCTCAGTCCCTCCCTCGTTACAGGCAGACATTTTGACAGCTTCTTCCATGGACACTCGACGACCCAAACTCAAGCTCTCATGCTTGTGTACTGTTCATTTTACCCACCAAGCCATCTCCCAAGCCCCCCACCCACCCATTTTTCTCCTCTCTCATTTGAGACAAACTTTGGCCACAATTCTCAGGCCGTCCTCAAACTCCTGAGCATGCCGCTGATCCCAGCTGGAAGTAGAAATTTGAGGTCAGTAGGCCCAGTATTGACAGTGACTCACTGAATGACCCTGGGTCCATCATCCAACCCTCTGAGCCTCTGTGTGTTTATCTAAACTTGGCAGTGACCTGTCCACAGGGCAGCATGTTTGAGAGGACAGACTAACACGCACCGAGAGGTGCTTTGTCTGGGACGGCAACTGCCACCGCTGAGACCTAAAGAAAGATCTGCCTTCAGCTGTATCCCAAGGCAACCACTGCAAACATCCCCCCAATTTAGAGCATATAAGCTGTGTGACTTCCATGAAGATAATAATACAGGGGCCTAGGATTCATCTCAAACTATCCAGAGATCCTCTTGAGTAACAGACACGAGCACAACACACCAGTCTCGTGCTGTTCAAAAGAGAGGCTGGAGAGATGGCACACAATTAAGGGTACTTGCTGCGTTTGCCAAGGACCTGGGTTTGCTTCCCAGTACCTGGAGGGCTGCTTACACCATTTGCACCTGGAGTTCCAGGGGAATCTGATGCCCTCTTCTGGCCTTCTTGGGCACTGGATTCATGTGGTGCACAGACATACATGTAGGCAAAAAACTCATACTCATAAAATAAATCTTCAAAGGAGACCTGTCATGCTCACCAAGGTCACTATGAACACAGACCGCTGCAGACTTGAGTCCTGTTTGTGACTGCATAGGCATTGTCGACTGAGCTCTTCCTATGTGGACAGTCTGGGGGATCTGCATTAATAGTAGTAGAAGCAGCTAGGTGCGGTGGTACATGCCTTTAATCCCAACACTCGAGAGGCAGAGGCAAGCAGGTCTCTGTGAGTGAGAGGCCAGCCTGGTCTACAGAGCTAGATCCAGCACAGGCACTAAAACTACACAGATAAACCCTATCTCGAACACCCCCCCATACACACACACACACAAAAAAAAAAGAGAAAAAGGAAAAAATAACAATAGTAGTAGAAGCAATTGTTGGGGGTATTCACCAGAGAACACTGCTTGGACATGGCTTATTTATTTAATGTATGTGGGTGGGTACCGATGTGATTTATGTGCTTGATATATGTGCAGTGCCTGAAGAAGCCAGAAGAGGCTGTTGGACCCCCTGAAACTGTAGTTACATGTCATTGTAAGCTGGGCGGTGGTGGTGCACGCCTTTAATCCCAGCACTCGGGAAGAAGAGCCAGGCGGATCTCTTGAGTTTGAGGCCAGCTTGGTCTACAGAGTGAGATCCAGGACAGGCACCAAAACTACACAGAGAAACCCTGTCTCGAAAACAAAACAAAACAACAAACAAAAAACCAAAAACCCCATAACAGGCCATAGTAAGCTGCCTGGTGTCGAACTCCTTATGTATAACATGCTGGTCTCCAACTCAAACAGGGATCTGCCTTCCTCTGTCTTCCTAGTACTGGTTTAAAGGCCTGTGCCATTACAGCCAGCCATTTTCTCTGTTAAGCAGCCGAGATATGGCTCAGTGGGCAAATTGCTTGCTTCCAAAGTATTGGGAACATTAGGACTGAGATCTGATCTCCATCACCCATGTAAATGCCAATCACAGCACTGCATCCTCAGGCAAGTTGGCTAACTCTCCAAATTGGTGAGCTGCAGGTTCAGCAAGAGCTTGCCTCAGTACACAAGGTGAAGTGAAGGAGACTTGATGCCAACCTCGGGCATGTGCCTGCACTCACACAATGTCAGCCTCCCCCTACATGCAAACACACACACACACACACACACACACACACACACACACACACACACACACACAATAAAACAATAATTTTAAAAAGTGGCTAATGTTCAGTAATCCTGGGGATGAGGGGCAGGGCAGCTTGTATATAGTAAAAATTTGGCCTAAGGTGGCATGGCATTCCTCTTTTCTGGTCCTTTGCACATGGCTGGATGTGTCGTTTATGGTTGGGGAGGCAGTGCCATTTTACTAATCTTTCATCTATTCTCCTCCTCCTCTTCCTCCTCCTCCTCCTCTTCTTTTTATTTCGAGACAGGATTTCCCTTGTAGTCCTGGCTGTCCTGGAACTCGCTCTGGAGACCAGGCTGCTCTCGAGATCCACCTCTGCCACCCAAATGCTGGGACTAAAAATAGGTGAGGGCTTCTAAGCCCGGCATTTTACAAATCTTTCAATTCGAGTTGACCTGGATCCTGAGCTTGAACATGCGCCTCCGCAAAAGCCTTTTCATTAAAACTACATTTCCCGGAAGAACCTGTCTCCCGCCTCTTCCGGTTGTGCACCAGGCCCCGCCCTACCACTCGCGCCGGCCAATAGCAGCCCACCTATCGCTCCCGCACAAACCGGAGCAACCAGCGAGCCACGGGGCGGGGCGGGGCGGGCCCTGTGGCCTGGTTTGGTTCGTGGAGTCCGAGCGGCAGATTCGCTCGGCACTGGAGAAGGAGCTAACTCTGTCGAGTCAAGAATCGTGGGTGAAGTTTGCCACTGGTGGAGAGAGGGCGCTGAGAGAGACTGCGCTGGGCTCCCGCAGGGGCTCGGGCGCACTCCCCGTTTCGGCCTTTTCATGCAGGAAATGAATCTGCTGCCGACGCCCGAGAGTCCAGTGACTCGGCAGGAGAAGATGGCGACCGTGTGGGATGAAGCTGAGGTGAGTGCTGGGAGACCTGAGGGGCGTCCCTGAGCTTGGGCCAGAGGGCGAGACATTCTTGGAGGACTGGGAAGGAGGTGCCTGGGAATGCGGGTCCGGCTCGGACTGAGCACGGTGCCTCTTGGGACGTGGGCAGAAGTCCTGACGTCTTCATCCTGCTGTTAGGGGTAGAGAAACGGGCTGTGAGGGGCTGTGGGCACGAGGGACGGCAGCCCTTCGTAACAGTAAAGAAAGTACGCCTTCCTTTCCTTGAACAGCAAGATGGCATTGGCGAGGAGGTGCTCAAGATGTCCACAGAAGAGATCATCCAGCGCACG